AGGGCGTTAAAAAACTATTTAGCATTTATATGGTAGATAGTATACATCATACTGAATTGTGAGTAAAAAAGCCTTGTAGAACATAGATTGAATATTTAACCGTTTCTAAGATATAAATAATTTTATAATTGATTTATAGTCTCTCTTTTGTTTGTTATATATGATGTAAAAAGGAGAAATTGAGATAAGTAATACAAATAGCCTGTTTAGGATTATAATTCAAGAGATGATCTTCCATAATATGTAAAAGACAGCACGACACTCGAAGAAAAAGTATTATGCTGAAAATTTATTCTAGCGATATTTCTCGTTAGTACTAGAGATTTATACTCTACAATTATTTTTAAACAAAGTTCCGGCTGCAATTTTTTCAATTTTGAGTTTTTAGTATGAAATTCTTTTAATTCGTTATAAAGAACTGTAGAACTCGTACTCTCTCTCTCTCTCTCTCTCTCTCTCTCTCTCTCTCTCTCTCTCTCTCTGAAAAATATTTCTGAAACTTTCATTATTTCTTTCATACCCAAAAGTGGGATCTGCGAAGTTAACACGACAATCTATTAATTTAGAAAAAAAGATAATGACAATTCTAGTAGCATTTTTTACCGTTTTTATATAAAAATAAAACAGAGTTCCGCAATTTTATATTAAAAAACGAAAATTGAAAATATGAAGTATTAACTTTGCGGATTTAGCATGATACTTCCACTCTAAAATATAAGAAAAAGATAAATATTTTCACTTTTAGCTACAGATTTACCATTAGTACTACTCGCAATGTACTAATATATATCTGAAAACAAAATTTCAATAATTACTAAAATACACTTTAAATATGTATTTATCTTTGTCATTAATATAAACTTTTTAAAGATTTTTATTCATATTTGATAGTTTTGAAAAATGGAGATTGAGACTTTGATCTTAACATTTTATAATTACAATGCAGTTTCTTTAATTAATAATATTGGTTGTCTTACGATCTTATTCATTTATTGTAGATACGTGAATGCATCTTTTTCAACGCAACTTATTCTAACTAAATAAACATAAATATTATTCTTTCCAACCATTAGTATAATAACATTTTGTTACAACTTGTCTACATTGCGACGATTATTATTCCCGCTTACTTGGCGCCGATTAGCGCCTGTATAACGTGTTTGACGTAGCGCATAAAATCACTGACATTGCAATGTCGAGGTCACAAAGCCAATCTTCATTTTTTAATGTTATTATTTATTACGTCTTCCTAATCTTACTTAGTTGTATATTCTTTGCGTTGATATTATGAAAGCAAGAAATCTTTAATATTTATTTGTCGATCTATTCGTTATATATATATTATTCCATTATTATCATAGTATGCGTACTTAATAATAATCTGATCGATACATTCGTCATTACTTAATAAAAATATCGGAAATCAAAATTTAACATCTTAAATATATAAATAATGAATAATTTATATTTTTTATGTAATCAATTGTTCGTGAAATTTCGTATTTCCACTGTCTTTATAATGTGAAATTAAATACATAATTATTTTTTAATTTATTTTTATTTATAAATTACATATAATATTTATAATAAATAACAAGACTATTAGTACCTACAGATTAAATTATATAATTATTATTAATATTTATTATTATTAATTGATTATTAATATTAAAAAGCAAATGTAATATTTATGATAAATAGAGAGAGAGAATAGAGGCTCAGATTAATTTTATTTTACACTTTATTTCATAACATAAACAAACAAGTACAGAGATGGACACAATACTTGGTTTGGGTTGAAAAATTACACAAATTACTACAACTATTTACAAATAAAATTTTTTTTTTAGAAGTAAGAAATTTGAGATAATTAAATCTCTTTTAACAATTATTTAATTAAAAACCACGGCGTAATCACATACATAAATGTTAATGTTACGATATATACAATCATAGAAAAATATGTAAAGATTTTTAAAACTTATTGCACATCTACTAATACTGTAACTAATTCTCACAAATGGATCATGTAAAAAATTATTATCTTTCAAAATGTATTAGAAATAGTTTTATGCTGCATAAATTCTTTTTTTACGAAAAGTTAAAGAATTATAATATTTCCACCTCTTATATGAAGATTATGTTCTCATATGTGTATAATAATGTTATTGTCGTTTTTTGTCCATTTCATCAAAATATAAGATCAGGATTTTCTCTACGCAAAGCGATCCTAACTAATTCATTGCGAAAATAGTTATTTAACATGTAGACTATACATATGATCGCTACGTTAGCGTACGTCATTAGTTAACGCATTTGCGAAAAATTGACTTTTCCAGCCTTTTTTACATGTCTGTCGGCACATTTATATAGCGCAATAACAACAGTATAGCGATACGAGTATTCGCTGATACATTTGAGAAAGAATTACATAATTGCATTCGGAATTGGCGTTATCCTTTTAACTATTTATCTATGGAAACAACATATATATTATTCTATACATCATAGTAGATGATACGCAGAAGAAATAGATTATATAGTAGCATTCCGTTTCTCACATCAATGCCAAATTCATGGTCAATAACATAAAAATTATCTTCATAGATTTGTTCTTCTCAAAACAATAGATAAAAAAAATCACAAAAAATAAATATAACTAATTTTTAACATACACTTTATGTACATTAAAAATACAGTGAGGAAAAGTAAGACATTTGTTTATAAAATGTTACATGCGTTAAGTTATCGTATAAAGTAATTCTTTTCAAAAGTTTCTCTGATATTGACTTGCGAAATAGTATGTATTTCTCTCTATAAGACGGATGTATCATCGATTCCATATCATTGAAGAACCTTTAAAACTACTAAGAAAACACTTAGAAAGATATATTTAATACACGATTCACGCGCGATTTGTTACGAAGAATCTCTACGAGATAACATCTGTTTTTTCCAATTGGCTCATTATCCATGCGTTTATGTACCAGTGTTGAAAAATAAATTACTATTTCGAGTAATTGGAGAAATAATAAGCGCCACTTCAAAGCAATGTATCTTTAATATTGTTAAAAATTATTTTTATCTTATTTAAATTAAATAGATTTAAACATGAGAAAAAGAGAAAATAAAAAACGGAAAAATTGAATATGAAAAATTGAATATCTCTTATAAACAACTTACATTTATTAACTAATCTATACTTATTTAGATTTTTCGATTTTCATGATTCTTATTTTAGACATAAACGTTTCTTTGTGTTAATATATTTTGCTTTCGTCACCCAAAATACATTGTCTTATCGAACAAATTGATCCAAAAATTTATTTCTGGAATACCCTTTCTTTCGTTTTTAAGGCAGATTTTCTTGCTTGAAAAGACAAAAGAAATTCATTTCTGACTTGTCACACGTAATATAATAAATAGTATACAATCAGAAAATAGTTCATGTACCCAAAATTGCATGCTGTCTTTTATGTGATCTATTAAGTAAACTATAATAACTATATAAAAAACATTCTACTAAACCTGAAGAACTAAAAATATTTTAAACTTATGAATCAGACAACACTTGATTTGTACTTTTATTAATCTGATATGTAAATTGGAAATTGCTATTGCATTTACATTCAAGATATGAAGAAATATCGAAGTGTATTTTAGAGCAAATATATAAATATGTAATAGTAAAGCATAAGATGGAAGTAAAGCATAAATTAATAAAATGATAAAACGAACTTTATGGTCTTTTAATATTAAACTAAATCATGGAAAAAAGACATAATGTTAATCACAGTAATTCTTAATCGGACACTGAGCGTGCCGCTCAATGCTGAGATAACTCTATCGCGCGAAGTAGAACGAGGTCACAGATCCAAAAAATGAGAAAATTATTGTTCCTCATTATTGTCCATAGGGCTGTAAATTTTTTTGTATTAAAGTTGTTGAATGAAAAATATATGTTCATTAATTACAAATAATTATTATAAAAATAATTATGGAATAATTCTATATTATACGTGTAGTACCATTCCAATAATATAATATTTAAACATATTCTTATTATATAGAATAAAAACGTACTTTGTTTGCGACCTCATTTTGCTATTATTACGATCGATACATTGTCTCACGTCTTCCTCTATTCAATAGCTCTCACATAGGTTCTTGATATTCCCACCCTAACCCTCGATTCACTCCAGTTTTGTGTAAATTCATCATCGCTTATATTATTATTCACGACTGTACTGCCGTTTCCGGTGATTTACGACATGACTCGTTGTCATTATCGATACATTCGTCCTGTTTGTTCTCTAGCTCGGTTTTACGAACGAGAGAGTAGTTGTTCAAATATTCCACCACTTGCATGTGCCCGAAAGTTTCAGCTTCGTCGACTGGTCGTTTACCCCATCTAAATATACAATATTTTCAAATGCAGTTGTATGAAAAAAATAAATTGTATGTGTTTGTCAAAGCAAACACATATAATTTTTACTTTTATTTAATCCACTAATATCGTTAAATAAAAAACATTAAAATATAAGAATATAAAAGCAAAGAAATATATAAAAACTAATTTTAATATAAATAAAAAATATCACATTAAAGAAATTATTTAAAAAAGTGCAAAGAATAATTAAATTTTTTAATTTAGAAAATATTAATTTTATATAATATATTTAGAATATATTTTAAATAAATACTTTATAAATAAAGATTAGAAGAAAAGAGGAAATGTATAATCTTTTTTATTAGATATAAAATAAAGTGGCCTTTGAAACGATCGTAAAAGACTAATTATTCGTAATGGTCAATAAAAATGCGGTAAATATAAATTGTTAAAATAATCATTGTAACTTGATCTTGGAATAACTCATGTCGTACCTATCCTTGGGATCATGTGGGACTCCGCAATGCTCGATTAGAAACTCGACGCAATCTAGATGACCTTCGCTAGCGGCTAAATGCAACGCGGTTCTGCCATCGTAATCTGACAATGTCATATCCATCCCACTCAATCGATGTCTGAAATTACAAGCGTTTGATAATAATTAAAACTAATGTAATTATAATCTTTTAAAATGTTAGATTGCTTTGCCTCCATTATTTTATGTTAATAGTTCATGTTAATAGGTCACGTTAATAGTTCAAATTCTTTTAAATACAAAAATATTATGTAATAAAAATGTTACATGATAAAAACGCGCAACAGAAGTCTACACGTTCATCTTCAAACAGGTTCTTAAAAGAGTAATCTCACCTTCTCATCGCTGTGACATCACCACTGGCAGCACTGAACAGAAGATTAACGATCGAGAGACCTTTCGTTTCGTATTTGTGCCGTCTAGGATCTTTCTTATTCGTTGCATGCTTCAAATTGTCATACCTGTAGTAATAATATATGATATAACTGAACAACACGAGAAAAAGACAGAACAAAGAAAGAGAAATTTCAGTTTCGATTATGTGATGTCTACATCTATGACACAAAATTACAAGAAATAGAAAACTAATTGTAAAACAAATTTGAAACATTTTATGATAAAAACATGAAAAATTTTATGATAAAAACATCTACGTAATACATTTAAATTTCAAAATTATATCAAATATTTAATTAAAAGACAAAACAATTTAAAGATACACAATAATTTTTCATATTCGCTGATCAATTTCTTTTATAAATTTCAGATAATTTGATTTTCAATTAACTATATCATCACCTGTGAAAGTTAAATTCGCGCACGAGTTCTTCACAGAACTGCACACCACGACAGGAATTGCCGAGTGGATCCAAAGGCGGTGACCACGTACAAATTCCCATGACATTTGGAATTACCACGAGAAGACTTCCTGATACACCGGATTTCGCCGGTATGCCAACCTAAAATAAAATATAGTGTTCTTCGATGAAGCAATGATTCTGTCTAACTTTTACATTAATATTATTGACATATGGATAGTAAATAAATTATTTGTACCAAATTAATAATTAATAATTAATATATAATCAACACACAGTAAATTTTCATACTAAATTATAATAATTATTGAAATATACAATTGCCTGTTATGGAGATCCAAAAAGTGCATCTATTTTTTTAATTTTATATGTTGTTTGAATCAATTTATTATTTAAATTTCCAGAGATATTACACAAGTATTCACGTACGTATTTATTTGTTTTAACTCACTTTGAACGCGAATTGACCACTATAGTCGTACATGCCGCAACTGTGCATGAGACTCAGAACATCACGAACACTGTCCGGTTTTAGGACCTTCTCCTCAGTAACTGGACAAATACCTCCGTTTGCTAAGGTGGCTGCCATTACCGCCATCGTCTCGCAATTTGCTTCCATGGCACAGCACTTGCCAATAAAAATAAAATTCATTGTCAGAGTATTGCTTACGCAGGTTGAATTGTTGAGAAATAGACGTGGTTTGTTTTGATATTGTAAACACGTAACATTGAACATATTTGAATGACATAATTGAATTATAAAATATGCTAACATATTGCGTTAAAAAATTTAAAGAAGATTCGCATTTTACAAAAAGCATAAAAATGATATATTATCGTGTAATCCTAAAAATCTCTATTTTCTTATTCTTATTCTTTAAAAATCTCAATTCTTATTCTTAATAATTGGAAAAATATTTTAATTAAAGTATTTTAATTAAATTGTTTTAATTTAATATAATTGTTTTAATAGAAAAGTAATATTTACCTGAAAATAAAAATCCATAACTTCCTGCAAATTCGTTTTTTCTGGATAACATTTGTGCTCCCTCATGTAAAATCCTAAAGCGTAATTTCGGTCAGCTGCCTCTCGCTCCGACAGGAAAATGGCGTTGTTAAAACTAAGATTCTCACCACCGGCCAATCTCTTGAAACAATTCATCGCGAAATCGAATTTTTCTGCCAAGCCCATTTCCGGCTTGACTAATGTTTTTAAAAGTGAGCAGATCAATATCGCGCCAGCGTTAATCATTGGATTATGTGGCTTCTCTATAAACATATCATTTATTTATTTATTCTCTATAAACATATCAGAAATTGATCGTATAAGTAAACATTTTTAAATAAAGCAAAATTTTAAATATTACTTGCATACTTATTGTTTTTTCTCTAATTTTTCAATTTACATTAATTTAATTTATTCATTATTTTTATTATTATTCAGATTGCATTAGTTGATTAATACTCACTGCCATAATCGAGTACAAGCTCATTAAAATTTCTACCGGACGGTTCTTGACCAACGTATTGATGCACCACTTCTGGACCCAGCCTGTCCAAGGCTATCGCATAGGTCAAAGGTTTGCTGCAACTTTGAAGGGTGAACGGTATTGTGGTATCGCCAATGCTAAATCGCTGACCATCGATGGTGCACACAGATACGCCCCAATATTCTGGGTTCATTTTGGCTAACTGCGGTATATAAGAGGCGACCTTGCCCTCGATATTCGTTTTGCATTTCCAATAAAAATCTTCGATGTGCTTCGTAAAACCTGACCAATCGGGAATTATGAACTGGTGCCTGAATGCTCGCGAGATCAGAACAATATTGGGATTTATAATTCTAAAAAAAGAAAAAAGTAAGGAATCAAAGAAAAGTGTTATACTTATCGTAGATATTTACAAACTAGATTTTTCTTCCTTCTTAATATTTAAATATTGTACGTAAAAGATTATACATTTTTCAATATAAAAAATATCTAGTAAGCAATTTCGCGTTCTTAAATATAAATGTGCTATTTATAATAATACAAAATTAAACATAATAATAATATATTATTATATAAATTATATATTATTATATAAATATTTAAGATATATACATAAATTATTTTTTGAAATTATAGATTTACCTTCTGAATTGTTCTCTGTCTAACTTCTGTGTTTCATGTGATATAGCTTTAGTGCGATCGCTATTCTTGATGTGCTCTTTCTTAAGATTGTCCGTAAACTCCTGAAGTCGAGGATCATTCTTCCGTAAGCCAGTTATCCTTAAAGCCTTGAACAAATTTAATATAAATTTAAATTTTTATTATTTAATGATTAATTCACGAATATACATATATCTCTATGAAAATATGTTACATCATACATACAGCTAAAAACTCTCCCACTGATATAAGACTAGTCTCCTCGTTCTTGAACATATCAAATAAAACATCTTCGGCATTTGTTGCTTGATCTTGATCCCGAGTGCTGTAAAATAATTATTAAATAATAGTAAATAACGTGTTTGAAAACAACTATTATAGTCAACGGGCATTTTTTTCACCATTATTCTTCTATTTTTAATTATAAATAACAAAATCATGACATAAATTATTACATTTACTATTTTATTTGAGTTTTCTTATATTGCTTAGATATTGTAAAATAAATACATTCTATTTTTTATTTATAAATCATCGTGCGTTTACGATCATAAGAATGAAACTCACCGTGCATTAAATATTATAAGCAAAATTATAAAATTTATTATATTAATAAAAAATTAACAAAACATTAGATATAAAGTTATTATCTTTAATGAAGTTAATTAACGAAATGCACGAAATATTAAATGCTGTGCTGTTAATGAGGTATTTATATCACGCCATGCATTGATGTAGCGCATAGTACTCACTACATATAGTGGCTGTCATGAATGAAGCTGTAATCGCTGTAATGAAAAGCAAGACCAACAATTCTGCATTAGTGATGACAATAATAATTGTTAATGCGATTGTTACCTAAGAAATCGCGCCAACATCCGGGTGGATTGATCATTTTTCTTCTCTACCCAGATTGAACACGCAATTTTCGATTTAATCGCGTAATCTTCGGAAAGTTTAGCCAACTGAAGATTAGAAGTTTCTTTGGAATCGCAATCGATTGCTTCGATGTAAGGCATAGTGATTGTCGTTCTTTTAAAACTTTTATTTTAAAATGTAACTTTGTAAATTGTTTTATTTGTTTGTTAAAAATCAGTAAAATGTAATTATAAGTCTCTCCGATATTAATTATAATTTTTTATGCCTCGTTAAATTTCGTTTAATTCAACTTTTATTTCTATATTATTTCTGTATATATTTATTATATTTAGACGTTTTTTTTATTAAGTCAACATAAATGTTGGCGAATATTTTAAATTACGCATATCACAAACACAATACTCCAGTTTTCTTCACATAATATAAAAAATAATTCAAAAAATTTACAAAGCGTTGTTGTAACTGATTTCTTGCGCAGAATGTGAAGAAATGTTTTGCTGACTGGTTTGCAAGAATATTCCGTCGCAGATATATTACCGGGGTTTTTATAACCGAGAAGAAAAAAAATAATTTCAACCTTTGTTTACCCCCCCACAGATGTAAAAATAGATCTTAAAATATCTCCATTTGCATCAGATTGGAACAGATGACATCTTAAGAGTCAGAAGCTACGTACAATTTGCATTCGATGGTGAATAATTGCAACAAACAGAAATCAGTAACAAATACTTGCTTAGTATATTAGAGTCAATTAAAGCTAAAATAAGAAGCTCTGTATGAGGAAAAGATGGAAGGATCAAGTGATCGAAAGAGAATTTATATTTGAGATTCATTGTAGATGACACACACACGAATTTGATTAAAACTGTACAATAATTAAATATATATACAATATAAAAATTTTTAATAAAAATTTTTATTAAAAGCTACATTAAAAGAGATAAGGCTGAAGTATATGTTTATATTGTAAAGTTAAGAATCTATTTTTCTATTCTGAGTTTACTTTAAAATCGTTTTTATTTTCACCTTTCTTTGTGTTATTTTTTTTTTATTTTTTTATAACTCTTAAATTTAGTTTGTTCTTTCATCAAAGAATTCTTTTATAAAGGAATTAATGTTTAATGACATGTTTAATATATATATTGTAGCAAAGCTTCAAAATTCTAATTTATTCTAGCAAATAGAATAAATCTATTAATTAGAGATTCTTAGAAATAAAATAATCTTACCGAAACGCTCTTAATGGTAATTCTTGGAAATCATCAATGTAATGACCACTAAATTCGAAATCGTCCATTGCTTTGATTTTAGTAATTCCAGATGAAAGAAACACGAACTAATATTACCATAAAAAATTTAAATTAAATTCATTTTCAGAATTTTTTATAACATTTCGCGATCTCAAGAGATTCCTCTGCTTCAGTTCAGCGACGAATAAAATCACGATCTGAGAAATCGTATATTGTTGAACGCGCTTAAATGATGGACAATAACGATGCCTGACCTAATCAATTGCGATAGATCAATAAATTGCGCTATACGATATTGCATCGATAAAATAGTTGCACGATGATCACTATGCCTTCTATAGAAAACAATTTCTAGTGCATATTGGTATCGTTTGCAAGTTATCATATTTACGCATTCATTCGAGTTCAAATGACGCGTTTCAGTGTTACGTTACGTTTATGTTTCTACAGGCGACCGAGTGATTAAAGATGTTGAAAGGAATTCTTATGTTACATATTTGTATAAAAAGAATATTATTATTAGAAAAATAATTTGTAAAAAGATTTATCATCAATTCGTTGATATTTTTCCACATTTTTAAATTCTTTTTAAGAATTAAACTAATAACGTAAAAATATTTCCTACCGTATTTGAGAATGTTCTAATTTCGCTGCAGCTCCAACAGTGGCATTCAAGTATTTTGATTTTTCAAATCTCGTGGATGCTGATATAGCAGCACGTTTCTGTAAAATAATGGATATCTCGTATGGTAATTATTAGAAAAAAAAAATTATAATTACTTCCTATTGCATAAAAATTAAACAGCGAATCGCTAAAACAATATTTGATTATAAAATTACAATTGACAAATTATTATTCAACATAGAAACGCACAAAGATTTTCAAAATTTATAATTATATTTAAGAAATAGATAAAATTATATATTTATTAATTCAAAATATATATAGTTGTTTATTTCTTCGTCAAATTTAAATTTACAATAAAACTGTTCACATGTTATAAATATATTTGTATCGGGAAACTATTATTGTTCCAAATAGATAGAATTCTGTTTAGAACAGTTTCTGAATTAAGTATTTTAAGGTGGTCGTATAAGAGAGATCGCATTGGTTGCTAGGCAATTCTGTATTGATCTTCCGATGAATTAATATAGTTCTCTAAGCAGAAACCTGTCACGTGTACTTTAATTCGGATCAGTTAGAATTGCTTGTATACATAGACGTAATGAGAATTGAAAGCCAGACTAGATTAAAAAGCAAGATTCGTCTCTGAAAGGTCACTCTTGCTGCACATCTTATTATATAATCGATATTAATCATAAGCTTCTTATATCTCAATGATACATATGTTTCGTTAAAAATAAAATCTGGATATATCTATTAAGAACACCGGAAAATAAATAAATAAATAAACAAGTGTTTCTTTTATAATTTTCAAGATATAATTATTGAATTTTTCCAGACGTAATTTGAATCTAAACTTGTTAATATATTATGTAATATATTATAATATCATTATAATATGATTAAAACAGTTAAAAATATAATTACAAAACGTCAGTCAAATAATTATAGTACGTACTAATTATATTATTCTTAGTAATTATCGACATTTATCGTGCACGAGTTTATTAACTGCAATAGTCTAAATTGAGCGTCTTGTTGGCATAATAGACATATGAGAGCTATGTGTCAAAGTATTTTTGTCTCCGATATAGGCCATTACCGTTACCCACGTGGTTGTAGTCGACGAGAATCAGTCGTCTTTCTTGATACACTTTAAGAGCGTAAATCTAAATCATAACGTAACAAATAAATCTAATATAGCTTAATAATTGTATTAATAATGAATTTTAAATATATTTCCATTACTGCATAATATTCTTCCGTAAACGCCATGTTTAATATTTAGATACTAGCATTTGAGTGAATGCATATTTCGGGAGTTATTTAACATCTCTTTTAAATCCTTCGTATATTTTACACGAAATTCTTACCCTGCTAGTGCAATGCAATCTTCTGAGCCCATTTTCTCCGATTCTCACGAGCTTCAGCATCCTGACACCTTGCATCACTATCACCTTCAATGTTAAAATACTCACTAATAATTTTCTAAAATTGTATTCGATGACACTAATTTAAAATAACCGCAATTAATTCATCATAATTTAGAAAGTTATAAACAATATGAAAAAAATAATTTAAAAAAAAATCATCGAACTGCTCCAATCAAAAATAAGATGTTTCAATTCGCAGTTTAGATTTCACACGTCAATATTTGACCAAATAAAATTTCCTTTTGAGGGCTCAAATTTTCTGATCAATATCGCAACAAAGGTATCCAGTGTTTTGCACTTTAAAACGCAAAATGCTCACTTATTCCTATACTATTTGATCCATACTTTAAGTTATAACTTTTCCAACTTCAAGATTTAATTACTTAATAAATTCTCGATTGATATCGGAAATAATCACCAGTTGTAATTTTGTCTGCGACAATGAATTGTCGCTAGCGAAAGACGACCCTCGGCGTCTCGGCAGTCAGTATCTACTGCATCGAGGGTCGCATAGAAGGCAGGGAAGGCCGGCCGGCGGGACATGCGCGATTTAGGGATGGTATAAATTTTCGCTATAGCTGAGCCAGAAAATGTCAAAGGTTCATCGGTAGACGTATAATTAGTACGATTTATTTTCCCAGGAAGCAAAAAATAGCATCAATATTATCTCGAAGAAAGTGCCTGTAAATACTAAATAAAATAATTTTGACATATCACAAGCACATACACTTCAATTATTTAAATTTATGCCATACATTGCATAATAAAAAAATAAAACAAATAATATAATTATTTAAAATACAATTAAAACCAGCAATATTGTAATAATGTTGCAAATGTTGCAGTAACATGTAGCAACATTGCAAATGTTGCAGTAACATTGCTGCAAGTTTTTGTTCTGTACAAGAATAAACACAATATTTTCTATATAATATAATTTTAAACGATAGAACAGTGTAGAATGAAAAATTAATTACGGATTATTAAAATTGAAAAATAGGATAATGAACACTTATCATTTATTGTCTTGCAATTGTTACATAATGATATAATATATTGTGTAATAACTGTAAATCTCGATTGTAATTTCTTATACTGAATAACTGTTTAGTAATCCAAACAATTATCTCTAAATTTCTATTATTTAAAACTGCATGATAATGCGATAAGTAATGCGAACTGCGACATACGAGAAGGCATCTTAATAAATCATAGTGCACCGATATAATTGCGATATTCAATATAAATATGTTTTGCAATCGATAAGATAGCTCTCCTGTACATGAAGCTATTCTACTATACTTATAAATATGCTCGTCTAATTCAAATGTTACACAATTAGAAAATTATGATTCTTCTATAAGTATAATCAGTATGAAGTAACTGACATTTTATTTGATCCAACAAGTCTCTCAGAATTAATTCTAAATTGTACAATAACCAGAACAGCTGAGGCAGTTTTAAAGTTAATAGATCTTACTTATATATTGATATTTAACTTTGGTTTCTATCTCCTTTCTAATTCTTGACGTACTTATAGACGAACTAACACTTATTGCATGAAAGACATAAGCAATAAAAAAAATTATGTCTTTAATAGATGAAAAAAAGATGAAGAAAAATATTTTATATAACATAAATTTTTTTTAATTTACAAAAAATGAAAGTCTTAATCAATTTTTTGACACTCACCATCTTTTTATGACATCGAACAAAGTTATAAAAATAAGTTAAAATTTTACTACTAAAATAACTTTTTGGCACTTTAGGAAAGTCCAAATTTTAACAGAATCTCACAAATAAGAGCATCTTGAGCAAAATATGAATATAATATGAATATAATATGAATTAAATAGGATTGATTTAGGCGCAATTTCAATTTGTTAGAGAATATACGAATAACTATATTATTTCATAACATTATGAAATAGTGCACTGATATTGTATTACGTACGTGTAATATTGCACGCAGTATAATGTTGTCATTATTATTTTATAAGTCACTATTTGTCATTTAATGCACACAAAGATGAATCCCATCAATTTTTAAGATTTGGAAGACTGTCGCATAATCATATATATTCAAATGTACATATAAGTGTCCAAATATAAGTTGTATAAATTGTAAAAAATTGATTTAAAAACATCATAAATCTCAAAAAGGCGAATACCTTTTAATTTCGTATTGCCTTAAAGTATCCAAAATAGGTAAGCCGCTCTGATCATACGTAAAAAAAATTATTAATAAAATTACGTCATTGTATAGTGTTATCAATAATACGCTTTTGAAAGTGATGAGTGATTATACATCTATATTTACAAACGATGTGGTGAGCTTTTGATTTTATGCGCAGAACAAGAGGATCCTTAATTCTATAATATAAATAGGATGAAGATGATAAGTGTAAAATTCCTAAAAAAAAACTTTTTAACAACAAAAAGAAAAATAAAAGAAAACATGTAAAAATTCTAACGCTATTATGATTTTGATCTGCTTTAAACTTCTTAAGTACACTAATTTCACACACAGTTAGATGATCAATCTTGAGAAGGCAATTTTCATTGTCTATCTTGAAAGTGGCGTAAATTTAACATATATATACATACATACATTGCAAGATCTGTGCAATTTAATGAAATTATCTAAAAGTTGACTTACGCCACTTTCAAGATAATTTCATATCGACTATACGAATTACCGTCAATCATCGTCTATAGTCTATACTAAATCGGCAAATAATGTAAACGTATACTACTTGGATATCTTTAAAATAATATTGCAAAACGACTGAAGAGAGTGAATAACAGCTCTTCAAGTCTTTAAGTAAAATTACCTATAGATGTTACTTTGATAATACAACACGATGCAACACTAGTAGAGATCTATCGCATCAATCCATATCAAGTAAAGCTTTGAAGTCAGCGAAATCACAACGCTTGCTCCTTTTTCTATCATTAGTTCATTGTCAAACAATCATTTTAACTATGATTATTGAAATAGTTAAAATAATTGTTTGATATTATTATAACTTGAAATACGGACAATAAAGAAATAATACATTACTGCGGTTTCTTTAAGTCTTCATATTTTCGCTTCTTATTGAAGACGTCGCGTGCGTGGCTAGCGCTATCAAAAATAGTGCCATTTTCGCGAAGATGAACGTTATCACTCATTCTACCTACGATTGATTATCTCACTTACTGTATCTGATAAATAACGATTGTATAAGGCCAATTTATCGCTTGCAATAAAATTATCTTGACATTGTTTTCAACGTAAGGCGTACACCTCAGACTACTCCAGGTCAGTATCAGATTACCGTATCTTGATAAGCGGGCGGTCCACTAAGGACAAACTGTCGCTGGCTTTGTCTGACAACGTCAGTGCGATTAGGCACCTGTGGTGTCGCTCTAACGCCGTGATAATTGCTATAGCTAGACCTAGCACTAGCCGGTCGATTGCTGTACAATTCCTCCATGTCCTCGCCATTTAGGCTTTGCGTGCTGGTTTGCTGGAATGTAGGATTGCTTTGTCCCTGCCATTGCATTGGGTTCAGCTCGCCAGGCGACGTCTGCCAGTTATCGGTGAGGTTGCGGGTGGAGCTGGTGATCGGATGCTGATGGTCCCAACCAGCGGGCGGGCTCTGACCGGCCGGAAAGCTAGGCGAAGCGTTCGAATAATTGTTGGAGGAATCCTGAATGGTTGGTGGCCATAAAACTGGCGATGATACTGCTATGTTCACCGCCTCCGACTGCCAGTTCCGATCAGCGTTCCGTTCACGGTCCCAACCAACTGCGATTCTGTCGTAGTTGAGAGTGCCCTGCGATAGCGAGCTGACATTCTGGTTCGTCAGGTTACCAATGCAGGGTGTGACCGTGTTCGCGTACAGGCTTTCCTGATGGTCCATGATGCGGTTCACTGGGTTCTTGCGGCGTGACTGGCGTACTGAGCTGCGCCGCGTGTTGGAACGTCGCGTGCTATCCCGTGAAATTACGGAACGTCGCTTCACTCGGCGCGGCGTCATCGGTTTCGGTGACACGCTATCATCCTGCACCGGTGGTTCGGGTTGCGAATATTCGATGCTATATAATGGCCGTGGCTGCTTCTTCTTTCGTTTAGTTCGTACTGTTAAGAAAACAGACAGAGAAAGAGGCAATCAGATTTTGCGGTCAATACTCTTTTTTTTGCCTGTCCATTTATAATAATCGAATGATTGATGATCAAAAAGAGAAATGGAATTTATCATTTTGTTTAAGACAATCTATAAAGATCTTATTTATTTCATAACTAAGTCGTATTATTTTATTTTTTTTTCTCGCAGTTAATTGTATTTGCATTCTAAAACTGCGGTCCTTATATTTTTTCAGTAAATAATTGATAATAATTAATTTTCTTTAATCAAAATAATTTTCCTGCAAAAAATAGTAATTACTTTAAAATATCTCAATTTTTAAAAGATGCTAAATATTTAGAACCAAAAATGTAATAACAACTAAGAAATGTAGAAAAAATGAAAAAAGTACCCAGAAAACCGCACAGTAGGAAATTGTTAGAAAAGGAAAAGAAAGAAAAGTGAAGGGTTAATAAATAAAAAAGCAAGCGAATAGCAACGTTGCATATTTATTGTTCCCAATTAACTGCGCCAAAGTAAATAACAGATACAGTGGTTAAATACAAAACTGATTATATGACGTACTTAAAAAAATATAAATATTCTGTACAAATTTGAGAGATGCTCGATAGAGACTGTACTTGATTAGAAATATTAAATCTGAAGTGACAAAAAACTTTGCTACTTAACCTTTCTCTTCACTTGAATCTTTTTCAGACTCTAAATAAAAAGGAACACTACTATTTCATATTTAATAAATAAATAGTCATTCAAATAGGCAATAGTAATATTCCTTATCTAATAAATAAATTTTATTATCTAATTTTTTTATGTAAGTTCTGCGCAAAAATAAATATATACAATATTATACATATAAATAACATGATCTTTATCTCTATCATTATGCTATATAAATAAAATATTGTGTATTTCAAATCAAAGATAAACAGTATGACATATAACGCATTCGTTATATTCGATAAAATAAAGTATCTAATTTATGTAAATATATAATGATTTGTTTTTCATACATAGAAAAGCTGCTTTAAGACCTATTTTTTATTTAGCAGTCTTTTTTTATGATTGACATTTAATTACATACTACTTTTTACGTCAAAAGCTAATATAATCCGCTAAAAATATATTTTTCGTGATCACTTCAGATTTCTTATTAAATTATAATATAACGCAAAAAATCAGTCATTCACATGTGAAACGTCACAAAACAGATAAAATTCTTTTATAACTATACTGCCAAAAAGAATATCTGAAACTTTATACGTAAAGAAATCTCAATTAAGTCCATACATAATAGAGAAATCTATACACTTAGATACTTTCTATGAAAACGAGTACATAGACTTTCAGGTA